AGTTGAATATATCCTACCAGGCAAAGAATTTTTAAGAGCTCTTAAAATTTGTTTATTTGCTTCATTATTTAAGGGAAGCAATTGCTTCCGAGGAGTACTTTTTCTGGACAAAATCCTGGTATCCTCTGGCCTGACTTTTATGTTGTTTTAGAGCCCATGTCTGTTTGATTTACTGTATTAATGACCCATCATCATGTTCAGTGCCTGGTAGAAGGTGATAAATCGGACATAACATCCAGGTGCACACTCTTGTAAGAATGACTGCACTCCCTGATTTAAGACTCTCTCCAACCTCTTCCTCTTCATAAGCAGAACTTATGATGAACTTGTCACCTCTCTGACAAAAAAATTCAGCTTCTGCTGGAAGATAACAAGATTTTGCTTTTTGCTGCACTGTATCTCTAAAGTACATTTGAGTTTTTAATGTGACAGGATGTCTTGTGAGGTAAGATTTCTGTTCTTTTTTTTTCCAGTGTGGTTTTTTCCTCAGGTAGTTAGTTCTGAACCTCAACAGTGAACACATTTATTATTTTGATTTTGATCTGCATTTGGTGATTTTAATGTCTTTTATCCACTTGAGGTAGCTTGTTGTTGGGCAAGAACTACAAGAAACCATGTGGCGACATGAGCAATCTGCACATTTTCAGAGGATTGTTGATTTAGACTAGAAGTGTTTCCCCTACTGTTTATATATTCCTCTTGTAGGTAGTGGTGTTAATGTTTTCTTTCAATTGTTCCTTACCATTTTAGAGGGGGTTCACTAACACCCCTCCCCACAGCTGTTTAATGAGGAGCTTCAGACCTGAGCTGATAAGTCATGGTGGTGTTCAGATTGTTTTCTTGTTTCTGTTTTGTGTCAGATATTTACTGCCTCTGAGGCTTTACTTATGTGCAAGAAGGTGGACTGATAAAGATCAAGGCCACATTGTTCATTATATTTTATTTCTTTATAGATGACTTTATACTAGTGTTTTAAAAAAATTTTAAAGTTTATTTGACATGGCATAACCTTTTTATACCCCACCATGAATACGACGGGGGCATATAATGTTTGCCATATCCGTCTTCCGTCCTTCTATCCGTCACACTTTATGTTTTACCGGTACTCGATTTCAAAGAAACTATTCAAGATATTTTTATCAAACGTCACATGCTGATACATGTTATTGAGAGCTATTCACTGCTTCAAAAATTTTTGACCTTGACCTACCCTTTGATCTTGACCTCACTTAAATTTGCATTTAGCTCAGTTTCCAACAAAACAAAGTTGAACAAGATATTTTTATCATTCTTCGTATGCTGATGCATTTTGGTGAGTGCTATTGATCTTCATCGAAATTATTTTACCCTGACCTCCCCTATGACCTTGAATTTACTATTTAATTTTGCATTCAATTCAGTTTTACAGAAACTTAATTTGCATTTTGTGTTTATAATTTCAAAGAAACAAATATCCTGTTACATATTGATGAGAGCTTTCAGCTGTGTTCAAAATGTTTGACCTTGAGCTTACTTTTCTTTATTTGCATTTAGCTCAGTTTCAAAGAAAGTGTTAAAAATATTTTTATCTAACCACTGCATGCACTGATACATATTGGTGAGAACTTGTCAACTGTGTCCAAACTCTTTTTTCTTGACCTCTTGATTTTAATACTTGCTGGGTTCAAAACTTTGTTTCAAAGCAACTGTACAAGATATTTTTGTCAAACTTCACACACTTACACAAATTGATGGGAGCTGTCTAATTTTCTGATCGTATATCCTTCCCTAAAAAAGTAACTTCACTATTCTTGCCCTAATCTTAAAGCAATGTACTTTTCTACTTCATGTTGCATTAGAACCCTGGGTGGGGCATTCATGTCCCGTGGACATATTTCTAGTTGTTTTAATTTATTGATGATTTTTGTAAAACTAAGTTCACTTATTGATTAATAAAAATATTGGCAGTACCAGAGATACAGTCTCAGATTTAAAATTGATATTTTAAAGAGAATCTTAACTCAGATGCAGCCAACATATATTAGAAAACATAAAACCCAATTAAAATAATCTGTTAAATTTATCAAATTCTTTTCATTTTTTTTTAAGGTTTTAATATCTCTAATCTATTTGCTCTCACACTCTCTCTCTCTCTCTCATATAATTAGCATAACACAGAGATCTCAGACAGAGATAGATATAGTAAATAAAATTTATAATTGTCCAGGTATAATATGGTAGTCTTATTCCTAAACTCTAGGTAATACTGAGTTCTTGTATAAAAGTTTAGAGTGATTACCTAAATGCTGTGAAACACTTAGCTTTCTGCTGATTAAACTGCATGCTTACAACAGAAAGAAAAACTTCTAGTATGATGTATATTTACAAAATATTTTCAACATTCTAATTATTTTTGGAAACTTAATTTTTATGGTATCAAAAAATAATTTCATGCAAATTATAGTGTTTGGTTTTATTCCCAACATTGAAAGACTGTTTTATGAGCTATGCGGTAGGTTTCAAGGAAAATATGAATGCATGTGCACATTTCAAACTTAGACAAATTGTGCCAGCTAGCAATCAAGAACCTGCAGAATTTTAGATGTTTATACAGCAGTGAAACATTAATGTCATTTCTTAGTTTCCGTCACAAGTTAATTATAATAAGACCAAATAACTGACAAATTATTATTCATGTGAATTATTGTAGATGTAATTTTTTTGGATGGACTTACTGCCAAGTATATTGCATTTCTGTCATGGTGCGGTACTTTTTCTTTTGATGTTAGCCATACTTTAAATCAGATAGAAAACCTTTGGCTGAATTCCAACGTACTATAACTTCTAGGGGGCGGAGCTTAGCCGTACAATAACTTCCAATGTACTGTACAATAACTTCCGAAGGAACGCAATACTTAAGTTTTGAATTTTTTTTTCTTCAATTTCTGTAAGCATATACAACCTATCCAGAGGAAAAATGAGAAACCTCACAAAATTCAACCCCCCCCCCCTTTTCAATCTGAAAATGCATACGTAAAAACCATTTTCATGAGGAGAACATGTAAACTCATTAGTTAACTAATTTAAACAAATATTTTAAAAATACACAGACTTTTGAAATACATGTATTCAAATTAAAACAGATAACTGAAATCTAACAATATTGAAAACGCGCAGTTCGATGATTCCCTTAATAGCAACTGTTTTCTGAGTTCTTTGAGTTACATGCAAACTGATACATGTTCGTATATACTTGTATCTGGACTATTTCACACTACATTCCATAATATTGATACCTGTGGCTACAGTACTTGACTCGGATTTCCTCGGGACATGCAAGCGTATCCCTAGTAACAGTAATGTAGCGGGTCATAGTGCGGGCGGATCCAGGTTTCCAGTATTGTGCCTGTATTTGTTATGGTTTTTGAAATACTCATACTGTTTAAATTAATCCATCAAATACAATTTCACAGTCGTTTAACATTGCTTGATTTTTCAATGCAACCATCTCCTTCGTACTTTTTGCTTTGTTTGAACACCGGGCCTGTTCACTTATGATGGACCTAGGCCTGTGATGTAATGTCGCGTGCAGTTTGGTGCTGAAGGCCAGTGACTATGCAAATGACCATGACACAAGACATTTACAGACACTTTCTTTCGTTTGTAAGGAATTTATTGTACAGAGAGGCATGACAGTCTCGTTGCTGCGCGAATCGACTGCCACGCCTCTCTGTACAATAAATCCCTTACAAACGAAAGAAAGTACTGTAAATATAACTTATATATATATATATATATAATTTACTGGCTATGAGGACAATAGCAAGTGTATCGTTCCCAAAGACAGCAACTATTTCCCGAGGTGCAGCCGAGGGAAATAGTTGCTGTCGAGGGGAACAATTAACTTGCTATTGTCCGAATAGTCAGTAAATAAGTGTTTTATTATACCGAAGCAGTCTTTACTTGTATTACGTCACAATCTATATAAAACCAGAAGAGTTCCGAGATGAAAAGGGAGGGAAACAGAATGCTGCCGGTGAATAGTTTAATGACTGTTTCACCATGGGCAAATAGCACAAAAACTATTCCACGGTAGGGGCTGTTTGGAAAAAATAGCATGTTTATTCGTAATATTTTTATATAGAAAAAATTCACAGAGGTATAATATATATATATATATATATATATATATATATATATATATATATATATATATATATATATATATATATATATGTGTGTGTGTCTTTTGTAAATAGTCCAATGTAAAACATTGCAGTATACAGTATACTTTTTAAAAGTTGATTTTATTTGAAGGAAAATTCCGGGTTTTTTTTTCATTGCACATATTTTCAATTTTTTTCAATAAGAGTTCAGATGTCGAGAGCATGGAAATATTCACACATTACATGTTCTAAGACTATAGCCATGCATTGCCAAAATATGATAGAAAGCTTTGAGCAGTTTGGTTGCCTTCTAGACTTAATTGCAAAATGAAATCTCAGAAGTTTTGTTTTTTTGTGCTATTTTTCACTCCTTGTGGATTTTAAGATTTAGTGGGCATTAAGATAAGGAGAAAGAGGCAGTTGGAATCCAGTAAAAAATACAATAATCTGGACACATTAAGCGGTCATGTGCTGGCGGGATTAGATAGGTAATGAGAAATCAGGGAGGGGTTTCAAGAAATGCCGAGACTGTTTACTGTATGAAAAAGTGAAATTGAATATTTATCTACTGGTAATCATAAGAAAATTATTGATATATGTATTAAATAATAATATGGAGGAAACTGCATTTTCAGTTTGCATGTTTTTGTGAATTTTTTACTTAATGTGGGAGGTTTGAGAAAATGGTGGCTCTTTTTCTATGTCTACTTTAATTTGATGTTAATCAGGATTCTTGACTTAACATGTGTTTTGTTTCTTGCAAAGTTAAACTCTCATTAATTTGAAATGTGAATTGATGTGAATCCAAGTGCTATTGACATGGTTTTCAATGATGTGTAACATTTTATCTTACAGAATGAAGGAAGGTTTTGTACAGAGAATGTCTCTGTAAAGGCCGCTGTATGCATGTTTGGTGGCGAGGCCAAAATACGGAAACTGCCAACTCCAGACAGGACATTTAAGAAGGATGCTGCAGAGAGAGCAACTTCACCATTCACAGACAGAAAAGACAATAGGGATGAGACATCGGATGTAAAAGAGGCTGATGTGAAGGACAAAGCAAGTGATATGGATTACACAATCAGGGGCACAATTTCACCTCTGCCTGGCATTCACAAAAGTCAAGAAGACAAGGGGGCCGAAAGTCAAATTTCTTTTGTTTTTGGTCGACCTTTGTCTCCAGAAAGTAGATGTGTGTCACCGCCCTACGACAACAAAATACCAGCAGTCGGGCGAAAATGTGCTAACCCTGCGAGATACAGGGGTCGGAATGGTAAGCCACCAATTTATATACCTCCTAGTAAGTCTGCCAAAGTGCCTTACCTAGCCATGCTAGGGATGAATGGGAACCAGGGCCTACGGTGTTGTGACCAGTGTGTGGCCTGTCTGGTGGATCTCAAACAACAAGCTCTTTACCTGATGAATATGGAGGATCCCCAGAGGAAGGCTGTGTCAAAGGTAAGAAGAATTCATCATATGTCAATATCAGGTAGCTATACAGCCTTATGTCTTTTACTAAAACTAGCATTTCTTTGTTTCTTCTTCATTTGAGAGGTTGTTCTGTGTTTTTCATGTAGTTTTCCTGTCTGACAAGTAGACCAGCTTTTTAACACTGACACTGATTTATGATCAAAATTTATGAATGTATAGAGACTTTGAATATTTAAAACTTGTAAATCAGTATTTTATTAAATATATGACAAAAATGAAGAAACATGAATGAAGTTGATCAAAGAAGATGGGCGAACATAGCGTGCAGAAAGCCTATAGCTTCAGATATATAAAAATCATGTTCATTTTGTGAATTTAGTATTTAGAGTTAAGTTCTCATTATTGAAATTTATGAAATTATGATAAACAAAACTTTTCTGATGAAAATTTTCTCGACAAAATTTATTCTTTTATTAAAAAAATTAATGTGGTATTCTCGGGTTAGAACCCTAGCAATAAAAATCCTGAGTATCATTTTCTTTCGAGACTACCACGCTAACCACTAGACTACACTTGTAAGTCCTGATGAATAGTGGCATTTAAATCATGTTTGTGATATGACCATTGACTTAATGGACTTCAAGTATTTCTCGAAAAGATGCGAATGTTATGTCATAAAAGTATATTTTTAAAGTATAGTGGGTCATTGCTCCATATTTTTGGTAACCAAAAAATGTATATTTTTATGCAAAATTTGAGGATTAACTTTCAAAAAGGTGGAGCGAAGACCCACTCATATCGAAAAACAGTATTATAGTATGAGAAAATGACTCTCTTTGCCCGCTTTAGTGTGTGTCTAATATTTCACAGGCAAATGATTTCAATCTTTGAGGGATTTTTGCAAATTATAGAGATTTTACATAAAGTATAATTTAATGTTAGAAGAAATATAAAGGAAAATTTTGATGTAATTGAAATTTAATTTTTCATCTTCATGTTTGTCACACTATAGGCTTATCGCTCGTCATGTTCACCCATCTCCTTGGACAGGTGAAAAAAAAAACATACTCAGTATGTTCAATAAGAAATATACTATTTTGTATGCCAGCAGGTGCTGTTTTTGTCCATAATAATTGAATCCTGTCCTTGTAACATTTATAATAAATTTTATACGTTCAGGAGAGAAAAAATGGGCAGTTTTATGATGAATTGTGTGACAGGTTACATGAATGCACTCAATAACTTAACACCTGATTAGGTGTAATGTCCGAACCATTGCTCTGTACGTGCCAGTAATTTTTGGAATTTCTAATGATAGAGTTGTGTGAACACCTGCATTGACCATTATAGCCAAAGGTTCATAATTATTCATATTTTATTAACTCCTATATGCTTCACTATTTAAGGGTCCATGTCTGTTATATTGTTTTCTTTTTCTGTTTGGAGGAAATGATATTTTTTGGTACTTGATTCAGCTTATGTCACATATCAGGAATGAGAAACATTACAGAACTGATCACCTTAATTATTGGGTAGCTGTATTGTGTCAAATTCTGCAGATCTTTGACAGATGGTTCTCTACAGAGAATGAAAACTTGACCAATAGCTGGTACAACAAAAGGAAGAAGGACTCAAAGGTCATAAAAAAGCTGCAGATGACCCATGAGACTAATGTGGTCAGTTTATTGACAGTTTAGATGTCTGTCCACTGCTGCAAGAACAGCAAACAGAAAACTGAATTTCATTTGTCAGTCTTAAAATCATGGGGATTCAATTAAAATGAGTATTTTTGTATGGTTGGAGAAGGAATATTATATGACAGATGTTGAAAGAGAGGAAATGGGTAATTATTGGTGTTAAAAGTCAGAAGTTGGACCATTATTTATTAGGTTTTAGTGATATTGTTAAAAATTGGAAGGCTTAAGGTGCATAGGTGATAGCTTTTCCACTGGCAATTTGTCTTTATTTAATTAAGCACATGTTCCTTGTCAGATTTTTCAAGAAAATGTCTAAATTTGACACTATATAGCATACCTGTATAGAATTTACAGTCTTGTTCTTTACACTTGATAATTGCGTAAGGAAAAAGTATGTGTTCTCTTTGAGTAAAACATGAACAATTTTTGGATGTTTATGACACATTCTTATGTGAGAATTTGTCAATTAATAATGTTTTGAAGTAGTCAAAAATTGAATTAAAAATTCCAAAGGAAACTTTTCATGAAAACGAAAATGTTATGGTTGAAAAGTACACTAGACCATTTCATAAAAGCATACACATTTCTGCCAAAAATTGTTATAATAAATCAGTGATTTAAAGAGGCTGGGGGGTTGTGGCCATTTTTAGACTATATTGATCTCCTTTAGAAGAAGAGCTCCATATGAAGATATAGAAAATGATCAAATTTTAAAACTAAAATTTTTGAAATTTTTCTTTTCCAAATGATAGTTGACAGCTTAAGATATCATATCTAAAAAATTAAGTTAAATCTGGTGGTTAATTTGTGGTTAATTTGTTGACCCCCCAGCCTCCTTAATATTCAACTTTCTGTAACAAGGTATATAAATATATGTGAAACTGTATTTGAATTAATATTAATAGGTAGATAAAAATCGAAAATTGAATAAGGAGGTATTAAATGTAGAACATAAAATAGTGCACCATTTATCAATTCCTTTCAAGTATGATGGAATAGACCAATAATCTCTGGTCCAGTTTTGCAGTCACTAAGGATGAGCCTTGTGTCCTTTTCAGATACTTGAGTAAAACAAGTGTACAAGTTCTTAATCTGTTTGATGTGTTTGTTTAGCTCTTTAGAATTATAAAATGATGTCCATTAAAGTCAGCTTCGGTACTTGGGAACTTTGATAAGGTATTCCAGAAGAGTAACCAAACCATTGAATGAAACTGTGGAAGTGGGCCATATTTGAACATTTCACTGTTAAAAATCATCGTTAATTAATTTTCCATCTTACAGAGACAATAAATGCCCTCTGGTCTATATGTTGATTTGATCATCTTCAGTGGCATTGCCCTGTACATAAAGCAGTCTTAGAGGCCAAGATAAAAAAAATTGGTTTGGGAGATCTCTCAAGTGACTCACCCAGTTCTGGGAACACTTTTGTGCTCAGCCAAGCTGAACTAATTTCATCAGTAAATGTTTTTAGAGAGGATTTTGGAAGCCCATCATTGGATTATAAAAATACTCATAGAGCAAGCTTCAGTAAAGATGCAGAGGTGACCATGCAGAATGGAATTGGTTTATAAGCTCTGTAAGTCCGTATCAGAAATAAAAAAAAGAAGAAGATTTAAAGATTTGGAATTAATGCTATCTTTTATTTGTCAGTGTGTTAGATAATATGTCAAAAACTATTTTACAAATAAAAATATTTAAGATTGAATATACTGGAAGGTTAATTTAGAAGTGCTAATGCATTAAGACTAGGATTGTTACCAATCATAGTTTTGTTTTGCTATGATACAGCGCAAAATCTTTATCCTAAATGCAAAAATATTTCTTGTATAAGCTCAAGGAATGGACCTTTTCAACTAAGTTTGAAATTAACTTTATTTCAAATTTTCAGCAAATTAAAGAGAACTTCTGAAGATTTGGTTCTTTTGGAAGTTTGTTTTTCTGTTGGCCTATGTTGTGCTTTTCTAATCTATCTTATCTCTGTGATTAGCTTTCTACCAACAGATTCATGAAGCTTGACAAAACAAGCTTATCTTTCCATTCATTGCGTTAGTGATTCCTTCTATCTGGTTTTACATTTGTATTCCTTTTCAAAAATTGTATAAATTGACTTATCCTACTGGTATATCTTGATTCAGCAGGTGGAAATGTAAATACTCTAGGGAATGCTTGTTTAAGCAAACATAGGCCATTCTCCTGAGATTAGTGTGTGTTAAAAATGATGACAATAGCATATTCTTTTTTTGCAATTCCAGAAATGATTTTTGTTCTCACTGTTGTTATCTTGTTACTGTTTTTAAGAAACAGTATGATTTCAGTGAGCTTTGCATACAATTCCACAAACAAAATAACGAATGTTGAGCAATCATGTTATAAATAATTTTATTTTTGATGAATATTTTTAGCAGGTAGCTCTTACTGAAAACAATTTTGGGATTAACTTTCAAATTTTGTGTTATTCAAAACTTTTGTGTGGGTAAAACAATAAGCAATATTTATTCACACATGATACAGAGCTCAGTTTTCATAGGTTATTGTAACAGTTTCGTGAAAAAATATGCAAAGAGTAGTTCCATTTCAATTAGTGATCATTATAAGTAAAACAATATCAGGAAGCCGGGTTATATTAAACTGATAATTGTGCATCTACAGAAATAATGATTATATGTGTTGTTGTCGATATTGTCTCAGAACATGCAATTTTTATTAGCTGCTGTCAGTTGTATTATGAAATGGTTTCCAAACTTGGACTGTGAGTTTGAACAGGGGTGTAATGAAATCATTCCAAATTGGGATTTATGAGAAGGAATATTTCTCATTCCTCTGACATTTATTTGGGTCTGGTAAGAAGATGTTGAGATTCTGTCTTTGTATGATATGATCTATGATATCTGTGATTCAATTTTCTCTGATACTGATGCACTCTTCATCTTTCATTTTATTGCAAACAATCTCCAATGTAGATGGACATCACATTTCCTTATCAGAGCTGGGGGGGAACTGGCTACAGGTCCAGAAATAAACTGGGTGCTTCCTTTTTTTATCAGTAGATGATGGTTCAACATTTTAATAGTTTTCAGTGACAGCAATAAGAACGTCTGATGTCTTGCATACTCAACATGTGGTATACAGTCTTTGATTAATAAGTAGTCAATAGCTGTTGTTTATCATTTTTTGATCCATTGAGTTTAGAAACTTGTCAACAAGTGATTTAGAAGTTATCAAGAGAAATACCAGTTGTTTTTAGATGCACATTTTAGAATAATAGGATAACTGGAAGAAAGCTAAAATACATCATTATTTATGTGGAAAGTAGAATAAACTTGGTGTTCA